TATTAATTATAATCACTAATTATTTATTTATTAAATTAATATATTAATCAGTAATTATAACAGTAATTTAATAATGGTAATTACTATTATTTATAATAGTAATTAATAACARTAATTACTGGGGTGCTTTCACGTGAGAATTTACTCGCACGAGTAGATTCAATTTCCTGCAAGGTGAGAGCACCCCTATCCTATATATATATATATATGTGTGATTCTATCATATATAACTACAATGATAAACAGTGAAGTGGTTTCACATCAAGAGTTGGCCGGGAATATGTTGTTGTTTAAGTGACTTCACATCAAGAGTTGGAGAAACATATTGGATTTAACCTGTTTATTCTTTTTATGGGAACCCTTTGTCATCCAGCTGAAAATGCGCATGGCCTACAGCAATATTATAGCCATGGAGGATCCAAATCCGTTCATGTTTGGATTTTCTGTCTTTATCAAATCCAACATTGAAGGGTTAGGCCGTACGTGAATATGCTGGAGCTTATCAAATACTATTCGCTTTACTCTTATTTTGGAGGTCCTTATCTCAATTTAAAACCGGAGAAATGAACTTGTCGTGTAGGAGAACACTTATCTAATTCATTAGACTAACGAATGAGACATTAATTGGAATTGATCTTTCTGTGTTTTGGCCTTTCGAATATTAAATTAATCAAAGAAATTTATCTTCACAAGTAGGAAAATGTATACATGACTGGTAGATTTTCCAAAGTGCTTTACATGTGTTCCACTTTGTGACCTGCTTGCAGATAAGACAAGACAAGAAGAAATGAGAAGCAAAATTGAAGGGCTAAGACTAAGACAATCCCACTTGTTCTCAATAAGTGTTTTAATTTTTCCACTGTGTTGTTGTCAAGTGTCAAATAGGTTTATTATTTATTTCTTTCTTGTACCATAATAATTGTCAATTGTTATGACCTTGTTTGGAGATTTTTTTTTGAAGATCAAGTGGTTCATATAACATGTTGGCTCTGATCCTCATAACAT